TGTTCTTTTGGTTTCTATTTCATTGATTTCTGCTCTGATCTTTATTATTTCTCTTCTCCTGCTGGGTTTAGGCTTTATTTGCTGTTCTTTCTCCATCTCCTTTAGGTGTAGGGTTAGGTTGTGTATTTGAGACGAAAGTGCTTTGACTGTAAATACATTCTTTTTATATCAGATGATGTTTATAACTAAATTTAGGATTTGGCCTTACATCCTACATGCACAGTGCCTTAATAAGGGGTTTTTCCTCCTCAAATGCTTTTGCTTTTTTGTTTATATTACTGGCCTTTCAGAAAAAAAAACCCTCTCTAACCAATCTAAAACCCTGTTACATGAAGTGAACCTATTACATAAACCTGCTTGTTTTTCAGCAAATATTTCTAAGTTTTAAAATGCCTGTCAGTGAATAATATTGAACTAACAGTTATTGCTATGAAGGATTTTAGGATTTTAACATTTGTGCAGATGTTACATTTAAAAATGACACATGAAAGAATCCCAGGGTGAAAGTAAAATTGGTAGGAATCCAAACCATATTGGTTTGTTCTGTTCCTTTTTTTAATTGAAGTGTAGTGATACACAATATTATATTAGTTTTAGGTGTACTGTGTAGTGATTTGACATTCATATACATTATGAAATGATAATCACGATGTTTTAGTTACCATCTGTCACCATACAAAGTTATTAAAATATTTTTGACTTACTTATTTTATAGCTGGAAGTTTATACCTCTTAATCCCCTTCACCTATTTCACCTGTAACCCCACTCCTTCCCATCTGGCAACCACCATTTTTTTCTCTCCATTTATGAGTCTGTTTGTTTTGTTCACTTACTTTGTTTTTTAGATTCCACATGTAAGTGAAATCATACGATACTTGTTTTTCTCAGATATATTTCACTTAGCATAATACCCTCTGCGCCCACCCATGTTGTTGCAAATGGCAAGATTTCATTCTTCTTTGTGTCTGAGTAATATGCCACATGTGGTATATAATATTCCACACATAGCCACACCCCCATCTTCTTTATTTATTCATTTATCTATGGACATTTAGGTTGCTTCCGTATCTTGATTTATTATAAACAATGCTGCAGCGAACATAGTGGTGCAAAAATCTTTATGAATTCATGTTTTTGTTTTCTTCAGGTAAATACCTAGAAATGGAATCACTAGATGGTATGGTAGTTCTATTTTCAGTTTTTTGAGGAACCTCTATAGTGTTTTCTGTAGTGGCTACACCAGTTTACATTCTCACCAGTAGTACATGAGGGTTCCCTTTTCTCTATGTCCTTGCCAACACTATGTTGAATAAAAGTGGCAAGACTGAACATCTTTGTCTTGTTTCTCTAGTTGAGTATGGTATTAACTGTGGGTTTGTCATATATGGCCATTATTATGTTGAGTTACATTCCCTGTGTACCTACTTTGTTGAGAATTTTTACCATAAATGGATGTTGAATTTTGTCAAATGTTTTTTCTGCATCTGTTGAGAAGATCATATGATTTTTATCCTTCATTTTGTTAATGTGTATGATGATTAATTTGTGGATATTGAATTATCTCTGCATCCCTGGAATAAATGCCATTTTGATAATGGTGTGTGATCTTTTAACGTATTATTGAATTTGGTTTGCTAATATTTTGTTGAGGATTTTTGCATCTATGTTCATCAGGAATATTGGCCTATAACTTTCTTTTTTTGTAGTGTCTTTGGTTTTGGTATCAGGGTCTCCTAGAATGAATTTGGTAGTGTTCCTTACTTTTATTTTTTGGAATAGTTTGAGAAGAATAGGTATTAACTCTTCTTTAAATGTGTGATAGAGGGGCACCTGGGTG